ATTTCTAATTACTTAGTTAAAAAAAATCAACAATGAAAAACATTTTCCTGAGAAGAGTACACAATTTATCTCAATAATTTTTAAGCCATGAACCATGTAAGTCAAAGGATGTCAAAGAAAATGCTAAATTTATATTTCATCTGCCTTTCATAGCAAAGTAATTTGGATATTTTTTGTTGTTTCATTAAAGCATATGGAGATTGGTCCATATACTTGATTCCTGTTTCACTTAAAAGCTGCACTAGGTGTCATATCAGATTTCCACCACTGATTTAATGATGGCACAGTAAGTTTGATTTTGTATTAAAAATAATCCCAAGTTATCCCTTTCATTAGGGTCAAATGGAACTCTTAGCCAATCTTCACAACAATCTTGATTTTCTGATGCACACAATGAATTTTAGGATGTTCGTACTAAATAATCTTTTAGTTCAAAGTTATTTTTTTATTAAAATTGGTGTCAGTTTTTAGAACAGCTTTAGGATTATAGAAAAATTGAGTGGAATGAACAGAGAGTTCCATATAGCTGCTTCACACAGTTTCTACTATTATTAATATCTTGTAATAATAATACACGTGGGACATTTGTTATAACTGATAAACCAATATTGATACACTAACTATAGTCCATATGTTATGTTAGACTTCATATATTCATCATCACTGTATCATAAGAATACTTTCACTGCCCTAAATGTCTCCCAGCTTCACCTATTCAGCCTTTTCTCCTCCCAATCCTGGAAACCACTGATCTTTTTTCTCATTTCCATAATTTTGCTCAGACCAGAGTGTCATATAGTCGGAATTATAAGCTTATAGTTTTTTTTAAGACAGCTTCTTTCACTTAGCAGTTTGCACGTTAAGGTACCTGCTATCTCATTTCTTTTTTTTTAAATATTTTTTTAGTTGTAGTTGGACACAATAACTTTATTTTATTTATATGTGGTGCTGAGGATCAAACCCAGGGCCTTGCATGTGCGAGGCCAGCACTCTACCACTGATCCATAACCCCAGCCCCATCATTTCTTTTTATTATTGAATAATAGCTCATTGTATGGATGTGCCACTATTTGCTCATCCCTCCATATATTGAAGTTTATCATGGTTGCTTCCAAATTTTGGCAATTACAAATAAAGTGGCTATAAACATTCATGTACAGAATTTAGTGGCTGTAAGTTTTCAATTCATTTGGGTAAATACCAAGGAGAATAACTGTGTAAGGTAAGTCAGGTTTGTTTTGTAAGAAATTGCCAAACTGTCTTCTACAGTTGCTATACATTTTTCATTCCCATCAGCACTGAGAGTTCCAGTTGCTCCACATCCTCACCAGCATTTAGAGTTGTTAGTGTTTTGGATTTTAGCTATTCTAGTAACTGTGAAGTGGTATCTCATTGCTGATGTTTTTTATTTGTTTTTGTTTTTGTGGTACTAGAGATTAAACCTTGTGTCACTCTACGTGGAGCTACATCCCCAATTCTTTTTGTATTTTGAGACAAGGCTTCAAATAAGAAGTTTCTAGGGCTGCCTTCAAACTTCTGCTCCTCCTGCCTTTGCCTTCCAAATATCTGGGATTACAGGCATGTGCCACTGTGCCTGCCTCATTTGCAATTCTTCAATAACATGTGAGGTTGATATGCCTGTTTTCCAGCTCTATATCTTGTTTGGTGAGATATCTGTTCATATCTTTTGCCTGTTTTAAGATTTGACTGTTTTCTAAATTTTAAGGGTTCACTGTATATTGTAGATAGCAGCTCTTTATGGAAATGTGTTCACTAAAGACTTTCTTTCAGTCTGTGACTTTTTAAAAATAATCTTTTTTAATCCATTTATTTATTTATTTATTTATTTATTTATTTATTTATTTATTTATTTTTATGTGGTGTTGAGGATTGAACCCAGTGTCATGGTAGACAAGCACACTATCACTGAGCTACAAACTCCAGCCCCAACTTTAATTTTTACGAAAAATGTAAGGTCTATGTCTAGATTCTTCCTCTTCTTTGCCTCCTCCTCTTTTTTTGCATGCATATGAACAGTTGTGCCAGACACATTTATTGAAACAAAATTCTTCATTGAATTTCACTTATTCCTTTTTCAAAAATTAATTGATTATATTTGTGTGAATCCATTTTTGGGCTTTCTGTTCCATTGATCAATTGGTCTGGGTTTTTTTTTTTTGTTGTTGTTGTTGTTTGTTTGTTTTTTGTTCTTTTGTTTTGCAGTGTGAGAGATCAAATTTGGGGTGATACACATACTAAGCAAGTGCTATATCCTCAGTTCCTCTTCTGTTTTTATGCCAACATCACACCATCTTGGTTACTATAGCTTTCTAGTAAGTCTTGAGGTCAGTAGTATCAGTGTTTTTACTTTATTCCTCTTCAATACTGCATTAGCCATACTCTTCTCTTTCCCTATAAAATTTAGCTTGTTAATATCCATAAAATAACTTGTTGGGACTTTTAATAGAGATTACATTGAATCTACACATCAAATTGGAAGAACTGACATTTTTAGAATATTGAGTCTTCCTGTGCATGAATATGATCTCTCTTCATTTATTAGATTTTTTTCCATCACAGTTTTATGGCTTTCCTCATAGGTTTTTTGTATATCTTACTAGGTTTATACCTACATCTTCCATTGTGTGTGTGTGTGTGTGTGTGTGTGTGTGTGTGTGTGTGTGTGCTCGCGCTAATGTAAGTGGTACTGTGTTTCTAAATTTCAAATGAGCATTCCTCATTGCTGGTATGCTAAAATTGGTAATTTGTCTCTGCTTTCTTAATCTGGCTATAGGTTTACCAATTTTATTGATTATTTCAAAGAACCAGACAGGTTTTATCAATTTTCCTCTGATGATTTCCTAGTTTCAATTTCATTGCTTTCTACTTTTTTCCCTCCTCAGGGAGAGAAGCTGAAAGCTAAGGGTTTTCACCTACTTGTCCTGCACTGAATTGAGGGAAAGTATTATGGTAACTGAGTGTAATTTTTGCTATAATTTTTTTCTTTTCTTCTGCTTATTTTGCATTTAATTTATTATTTTTTTAGTCTCCTAAGTGGAAACTTACTGATTTTACATACTTATTCTTTTCTATATGCCCAATCAATGCTACAAATTTCCCTGTCAGCACTACTTTCTCTGTGTATCTTGAATTTTGACAAAGTGTACTTTCATCTAGTTTAAAATATTTTAAAATTTCACAAGGTAAAATGGGGGCATGCCTGTAATCTCAGTAATTTAGAAGGCTGAGGCTGGAGTATCACAAGTTAGAGGCCAGCCTCAGCATCTTAGTAAGACCCTTAGCAACTTAGTGAGAACTGTCTTAAAGTAAAAAATAAAAAAGGACTGAGGGTGTAGCTCAGTAGAAAAGTACCCCTGCTTTCAAATCCCCAATAGCAGAAAAAAAAATAATTGATTTCAGTTTAGACTTTTTGTGTTGTTTTGGAGATGAGTGATGACTTCCAAGTTCCTCACATGCCAAACTGGATCAAAGTTATTTTAAATATAATAGTTGATGATTTAATATTATTAAATGATTTAGTTATCTGATTTTCATTAGTTCATTAATATTTCTTAGTTCCCATATTTCTATTGTTTCCATTTAACAAGACTTAAGAATATAGCAAGGTATGCTTAAAAAAGGGACCAAGAGCCTGATGCAGTAGCACATGCCTGTAATCCCAGAAGCTTGAAAGGTTAAGGCAGAAGCATGTTCAAAGCCAAGCTCAGCAACTTAGCGAGGCCCTGAGCAACTCAGGAAGACCCTGTCACTAAATAAAATATTAAAAGGGATGAGAATGAGGCTCAGTGGTTAAACACTCCTGGGTTCAATCCCGGTATTAAAAGAAAAGAAAAGAAAAGAAAGAAAGTAAGAAAAAGAAAATGGGCCATAATGCCTATAAGGGAGATGATGGCATCATCAAGATGGCAGCATAGGAAGCCTCAAGCCCTCCCTTCCCCCAGAGAGATGATGACTTAACAATATATATATCAATTCCTTTTGTGAGAAATCAAGAAGATAGTTAAGATGTTCTTATACCTGAAGTGAGTATAAAACAAACATGTAGGCAAATTTGTGGCACTCTATTGTTAGACGGAGTACCTCCCCCTGACTTAGTATAACATGATCAAGAGAAAACTCCCAGCTTCTGAGTTCTCCCTGGGGTGGCAAAGACGAGACTGAATACACCCAATGTGCAAACTTTCCAAAGGTTTGCCTGAGGGACTGGTTTCTATCTTGTCTCAAGCCCAATACTGAGAGTGGTAGAGGGCAGGACTGGATGGACAAGGATAGAACACACAGGACATATAACACGACAGGTGGCTGAGAACTTCTGAGAACAAAGAAGATCTGGATTAACATACACTCAGTTAGCATAGTACTTTCCCCCAATTCAGTGCAAGACAAGTAGGTGAAAACCCTTAGCTCTCAGCTTCTCTCCTTGAGGAGGGAAAAAAAGTGGAGCATGCATTCAGTTTTTAGTTAGAGCTGCCCAAGAGACTAGTTTTTGTCTTGCCTGGTCAGAGTGCTGTACAGAAACTTGTATACTACAGATGGGGGTGGGGGTGGAGTGGGGTTCTAACAATGAGAGTTGAGTGGCTTGCTGCTGCTGTAGAGGATCTATATCACAGTAGACACAGGCCACTACATGTTGGGAGCCCCTCCCTTGGGAAGAGAAGAGTGAAGCACGTGTCCATTGTTCCATCTTTACTATCATATGATCTAGTTCTCTTGTGAATAGGTAGTTATAAGAGAGAGTTGTACTCCCATATTCATTATAGCATCACTCATAGTAGCTGAGAGGTAAAACACCTGAATGTCCATCAGTAAATGAATAGATAATGAAAATGTGATGTACATATACAAAGAAATATTACGCAACCTTAAGAAGAAAATCCTGCTATATATAACAACATGGATGAACTTTGAGGACATTGCTAAGTGAAATAAGCCAATCACAGAGCAACAAATACTGCATGATACTCTTATGTAAAGTATTTACAATAATCAAAATCATAATCAAAATCATAGACACAGAAGGTAGAATGGTGGTTGCCAGAGGCTGGGACAGGGGAAAATGGGAATTGTTGTTTATAGGTACAGAGTATTAGTCATGCAACATAAAAAGTTCTAGAGATATTCTGACAGTAATGTGCCTATAGTTAACAATACTTAGAAATTTGTTAAGGGTAGACACCATTCTTTGTGTTTTTATCCCCCCCCACAAGATTTCTATGAGGAGTAATTAACTGTTAATATGGAACAAAGTGTTTGAAGAGATATAAGAATAAATAAATTAGATAAGACATACACAGAGCTTATATGTTGTTTACTAAACTGGTTGATTCCCTTAAAACAGCCTTAATTTTTTTTAATATACAATGCATTATTTATTACAGTCACTATTTGTGTCATATATCACTAAAGCTTATTCCTCAAAATTGGAATTTTGTTCCCTGTGATCAACATCTCCATTTTCCCTACCTAACCCCCTCCCCATCCACTAGTAACCACCATTCTATTCTCAACTTTCAAGAGTTCAACTTTATAGATTTCACATATAAGTAATACCATATGGTATTTGTTTTTCTGTGTCTGGCTTATTTCAATTAACATAACGTCATCCAGGTTCATCCATGTTATTACAAATGACAGGTCTTCCCTCTTTTTAAAGGCTGAATAGTATTTTCATTGTGTATATACACCACATTTTCTTTATTCATTCATCTAATGAGGGACACCTAGGGTGCTTCAATGTCTTAGCTACTATGAATAATGCTGTAATGAACACAGGATACAGATAACTCTTCAACGACCTTAATTTAAAGCAACCATAAGAACTTGCCTTCATTTGTAATACTTTTAGTTATCAAGCAAATGATTTAGTCACAAGCTTAATAAGCTCATTCATATGGTTATTTTGGAGTTTAGATCTCCTGAATATCTATATTTGAACAAAGTAAAAGAATATCCACAATAACTTAAACATGAAACCATTTTGTTTTCTTTTCTATTTAGGATTATATTGAAATCTATTTTATCCAGTATAAAAGGATAAAAACATTTATATTATAAACTATAAAGAAGTAAAGAAAAATTTCATTATAATTTTAGAAATGTCTCTAACAAACATTCTCCCTGGGATGTACGTATGATAATCTTTTAATCTAGATTAATAAGGTGTACAGTGTATTCTTATACTCTTGGCATGAAGATAACTGTAATTTGCATAATATGTTCTTTTGGCATGAATTAACTATTGATTCATATTTAAATATGCATAAATGCATATACATATGTGTGTAATCAAGTTTGTCTAGGAGATATCTTATGATAAATACAAAGGAGATCTTTTAGTTTTCTCTTAAATGTTTTAGGAACTGGATACATAAAGATATTGTTAACTTCTATGGCTTGTCCAGTACTAGTTAGTAAACTACAGGTCTAAAATAAGGTAAATCCCTATCTGTTCACCTTCTTAGTAAGAATAACTCTCTAATTCAATCATGTGTTGGTCTCAACAAAAGGATCTTGCTCATCTCCATCAAATTAATAAAATATATCTTACTAAGTAAGCTTATATTAAGCTAAATGAGCTTAATACAGAAAATGCATACTATGAAATCAATCAATATATGAACAATGTAAAAGATTCATAAACAAAATTTTATTTTTCAATAACTACTTCTTGTGATTATGAAATTTAACACTGTGAATGATAAGAAATCTAGTGAACTTAATCCCAGTGACTCAGGAGGCTGAGGCAAGAGGATGGCAAATTCTAGGCTAGACTATGAATCTTAGTGAGACCATCTCAAAAAAAAAGTGGGGTTAGGGGAAGTGGGGCATGATGTAGCTTAGTGCTAGAGTGACCCTTAATTCCATCCCAAGTTTCCTTTTCTAACACATATGGAGAGAGAAAAAAGACAAATCCAAGGAGCTTAAGGTCATGTAGGCCAACATTTTTTGACTTGTCCTAATATTAACTGAAAGCTCACCATACTAGATAAAAAGTGGTATGTCACAACTTTGGCTACAATAAAACTACAACATATACAAAAACACATAAACCCAGAAGATCCAGTTGTGTTCTCTTAGAACTGATACATCTTTTTTTTCCCTCCTAAAACAAGCATAATGAGGCAAAATGTTTGAGTGAAAACAAATAAGACAAGAGTACAAGTCTTAGAGGAAAAAGCTGACATTTACCAACAGTTTGGGGGAAGGTGAAACATCAACACTTAAATGATGCAGTCCATCACATGAATCTGTAATGTATCTATGTCAGGCAGAACTTCTCCACACTTGGGACAGGAATGAATTGGAATACTCTTGTGATTGCTCTTGCCGCCAGTTCCTATCCTCAGCTCCTGGGAATAAGCAGGAAATGAAAAGTTTCATTAGTTCCACCTTGAAAAGAACTTCTGCTTGATTTTAATAACTTGGTTAATTTGGTCATCTGTTAAACTTGATAATCAATACCCAGTGGGATACCATTCCCAGTCCTTTTTATTTTTTTAAATTCAAGACAGGGTCTTGATGAGTTACTGAGGGTCTGGCTAAGTTGCTGAGGACTGGCTTTGAACTTAGGATCCTCCTGCCTCAGCCTCCAAAGTAGTTAGGATTACAGGTGTACATCACCACACTCTTTAATGGAAGACATCATTGTATGCACAGAGCAATCTCCACAGATAGTATCTGCTACTTTTATATTTTCCAGGATTTAAACTGTATTCCAGGTGTGAATATTTGTAAAGACATAGTTTCAGTTCTAGGTACAGGACAATATAGGTTCTGGATAGAAGCAAAAGAGGGAGAGAATAGGAAGGAAGGAATCATGAGAGTATGGGAGGGGTCTCCTGCAACAGTATGCACCTTTTTAGAAGCAAAACACTCACTCCCATTTATTCAGCAGATACTTGTAAACCCTCACGGATGTGCAGGGTACTGACAAGGTGGGGAAGCCAGGTAAGAGAAGGGGCAGTGGTGGTGTGGAACGGGGAGAGTGTTAGGCACTGTGGGGTTGGGTAGGAGTAAGAAGAGCTGGGGATGTGGCTCAAGCGGTAGCGTGCTTGCCTGGCATGCATGTGGTCCGGGTTTGATCCTCAGCACCACATACAAACAAAGATGTTGTGTC